AAAAAAGCCAAAAGACTGTATCTTACCATGGCTGCCTGCAAGCTGAAATCTGTGACCTGGCACTGTGTGAGTGATCTCTCACACCAAACAGGCAGGCCCTCAATATAAGAGTAAAAATGCGACCTTGTAACGAAAGCACATCTGCTGTGTAATGTGAACAGCAAAATGTAACGTGAAAGAGTGTACACATTGTTCTCTAAAATGTATCTTTTTTAACCACCTCTCCCTTCTCATCCACCAGCTGCAAATCGTTCTCCTTCACAGAGGCTCGTGAATATTCGAAAAAGGAAGCGAAGGACGCGTGATGAAATGTTTACAGAACTACAGACTGCCTCCCACGCTGACAGAGCACAGCAGAATGCGTGGAGGCAGTCAATGACTGATTACCGAAAAGCCCAATATGAGCGAGAGGAGAGGTGGCGGGCTGAATCGCGGGTTGAGGAGGAGAGGTGGCGGGCTGAATCGCGGGAGGAACAGAGGAAGTTGCGGGCTGAAGATGAGAGGTGGCGTCAGGTTGCACACAGAAAGCAAGAGTCCATGCTCTCGCTGCTGGAGCATCAAACTGATATGCTACAGCGTATGGTTGAGCTGCAGGAAAGGCAGCAGGAGCACAGACCGCCGCTACAGCCCCTGTGTAACCAACAGCCCTCCTCCCCAATGCTACAGCGTATGGTTGAGCTGCAGGAAAGGCAGCAGGAGCACAGACCGCCGCTACAGCCCCTGTGTAACCAACAGCCCTCCTCCCCAAGTCCCATTGCCTCCTCACCCAGACGCCCAAGAACACGGTGGGGGGGCCTCCGGCCACACAGTCACTCCAGCCCAGATGATTTCCCGAGCAATAAGTGTTAAAGTTTTAAAGTTTTAAACTGCAGTGTGTCCTTTTCTTTCCCTCCTCCCCCACCCATCCCGGGCTACCTTTGCAATTATCCCCCTAGTTGTGTGATGAAGTAATAAAGAATGCATGAATGTGAAGTAACAATGACTTTATTGCCTCTGCAAGTGGTGCTTGAAGGCGGGAGGGTAGTAGGGGAGGGTGGGGTTGTTGGTTTACAGGGAAGTAGAGTTAACCGGGTGGGGGGGGGGCGGAGATTTCATCAAGGAGAAACAAACAGAAGTTTCAAACCGTAGCCTGGCCAGTCACAAAACTGGTTTTCAAAGCTTCTCTGATGCGCACCGCGCCATGCTGTGCTCCTCTAACCGCCCTGGTGTCTGGCTGCGCGTAATCAGCGGCCAGGCGATTTGCCTCTACCTCCCACCCAGCCATAAATGTCTCCCCCTTACTCTCACAGAGATTGTGGAGCGCACAGCAAGCAGCAATAACAATGGGGATATTCTTTTCGCTAAGGTCTGAGCGAGTCAGCAAGCTGCGCCAGCGCGCTTTTAAACGCCCAAATGCACATTCCACCACCATTCGGCACTTGCTCAGCCTGTAGTTGAACAGGTCCTGACTCCTGTCCAGGCTGCCTGTGTACGGCTTCATGAGCCATGGCATTAAGGGGTAGGCTTGGTCCCCAAGGATCACGATAGGCATTTCAACATCCCCAACGGTTATTTTCTGGTCCGGGAAGAAAGTCCCTTCCTCCAGCTTTCTAAACAGAGCAGAGTGCCTGAAGACGCGAGCATCATGTACCCTTCCCGGCCAGCCCACGTTGATGTCGGTGAAACGTCCCTTGTGATCCACCAGGGCTTGCAGCAGCATTGAAAAGTACCCCTTGCGGTTTATGTACTCGGTGGCTTGGTGCTCCGGTGCCAAGATAGGGATATGGGTTCTGTCTATCACCCCACCACAGTTTGGGAATCCCATTGCAGCAAAGCCATCCACTATGGTCTGCACGTTTCCCAGAGTCACTACCCTTGATATCACCAGGTCTCTCATTGCCCTGGCAATTTGGATCACAGCAGCCCCCACAGTAGAATTGCCCATTCCAAATTGATTCCTGACTGACCGGTAGCTGTCTGGCGTTGCAAGCTTCCACAGGGCTATCACCACTCGCTTCTCAACTGTGAGGGCTGCTCTCATCCTGGTATTCTGGCGCTTCAGGGCAGGGGAAAGCAAGTCACAAAGTTCCATGAAAGTGCCCTTATGCATGCGAAAGTTTCGCAGCCACTGGGAATCGTCCCACACCTGCAGCACGATGCTGTCCCACCAGTCTGTGCTTGTTTCCCGGGCCCAGAATCGGCGTTCCACTGCATCAACCTGCCCCAGGAACACCATGATTTCCACATTGCTGGGGCCTGTGCCTTGTGAGAGGTCTAGGTCCATGTCCATTTCCTCCTCACTCTCGTCGCCGCGCTCTAATCGCCACCTCCTCGGCTGGTTCCGGTTTTGCTTTGGCATGTCCTGGCTCTGCATATACTCCAGGACAATGCGCGTGGTGTTCATAGTGCTCATAATTGCCGCGGTGATCTGAGCGGGCTCCATGATCCCAGTGCTAGCTATGGCGTCTGGTCTGAAAAAAGGCGCGAAAGTAGTATCTGACGGACCAGGGGAAGAAGGGAGGGAGGGAGGGGCGAGTGACAACATGGCGTACAGGTACAGGGAATTAAAATCAAGAAAGGTGGCTTTGCATCAGGGAGAAACACAAACAACTGTCACACAGAATGCCCCCCCCCCAAAGATTGAACTCAAAAGCCAGGGTTTAGCAGGAGGGAGGGGGGAAACAAATGAATACAGAATAAATCTATTTTTTACATCTTAAGACGACGGTGCAGCATGACTGATAGCCCTCGGCATTTTCTGGGTGCTTGGCAGCAAATACTGGGCGCTTGGCAGTTAGCCTTCAGGTCTATTGCACAATCTGATACCCACTGCAGTATGACAACGATGGATACCAGTCGTAATATACTATCTACTGCCCAAAAGGCAAGGGGTTGCTGCTGTGTAGCAATCTAGCCCCACATCTGCCAGCCCCATGTCTGCCAGCACCCAGATCGCCCTCGGCCTCTTCTGGGTGCTTAGCAGACAATACTGGGCACTTGGCAGAAAATAGCATACTACGACTGATAACCATCATTGTCTGCCCAGGTGCCCATGATCGACAGCCACTGCAGTACGATGACGACGGATACCAATCGTAATATACCATCTTCTACCAAAAGGCAAGGGGCTGGTGCAATGCAGCCCTACGGCTGCCAGCCCCACAGCTGCCCGCACCCAGATCGCCGATGAAGGCTACCAGTCATGCTGCACCGTCTACCGCCAAAAGGCAGTAAGCTGCTGCTGCTGTGTAGCAATGCAGTCCCACGTCTGCCGGCACCTAGATGACATATGGTGACGGTGAGCTGAGCTGAGCGGGCTCCATGCTTGCCGTGGTATGTTGTCTGCACAGGTAACCCAGGTAAAAAGGCGCGAATCTATTGTCTGCCGTTGCTGTGACGGAGGGGGAGGGGCCTGACGACATGTACCCAGAACCCCCCGCGGCACTGTTTTGCATCATCCGGGCATTGGGATCTCAACCCAGAATTCCAATGGGCGGCGGAGACTGCGGGAACTGTGGGATAGCTACCCATAGTGCAATGCGCCAGAAGTCGACGCTAGCCTCGGTACTGTGGACGCGGTCCGCCGAACTAATGCACTTAGAGCATTTTATGTGGGGACACACACAATCAGCTGTATACAACCGATTTCTATAAAACCGGCTTCTATTAATTTGATCTAATTTCGTAGTGTAGACATACCCTAGCAGTTATATTACCACCTCAGCCTCATTGAATGGGACTCAAGCCAGTAGGCAGCCTCTTAGCACAGCTACCAGATCGGGTCCCACAGACAGCCTAGGTGGCCGAACACCTATTTTACCCAGCTTGTGAAATGTTCTGATTCTTAGGCATCGTGACACCTAAAGTAAGGCAATAGGGTATGCCCAGAGTAGAAATACAGGTGCCTAGGGAATTTTTACCCTAAAAACTAAGGCACCAAATGAGTTTAGGTGCCTACAGCATTCGGCAGCAGTTTTATGGATCACAGTGAAGCCAAAACTGGGACTTAAGCTCCTAGACCCCAGAATTAGGCACTTGAGTGCCTTCATGGATTCCACCTCTAGCATCCACATGGTGCACTGTGACTATAAGATCTCATCTGTACTGATTTTGTGTCTGACTGAGTTTCTGTGTATGTATATATATATGACCCCTTTCACTGTAGTATCTGTAGTTTTATGGAACAATGAAGCCAGATCAATAAAGCGAGGAATTTGCAGGAGGTTATTTGGCCATATTACTCTATGGTGGAATAATTTTTACCAGAGGGATATGTCGGTAAGAAGAGTGGAAGAATATAGACCCAGTTCTCAATTGCACCAGAGTTCTGCTTTGTATAGCTGAAGGGGGTGGGGAAAAGTGGCTTTAAACCAGTTTTCTTTCCCTAATTCTTAGAGCTGATCTGGTCTAGTGTGTAATCTATAGCAGCCTTTCCTTTGGGGCTGTTAAAAGGAGTGACATAGAGTGCATTCTAGCTGCCTGGAGATTTCTTTAAACTGGGCCAATCCCCAAATAGCTGATTAAGTCAGTTTTTCCAAGTGCTCCTTGGGCTGCAGAACATAGTAGGGGCTCAGTAAGACCTGGACAATAAAGTTCATAATATTCAATTCACAAAAAAGTACTTCAAAGGCAAATATTCTTTGAGAAAAAATGTTAGGCCAAATTTTCAAATAAGCCTGTGAAAATGTATCAAAAATGTATTAAGGGTACTTTTTTATGCTCCAGACACTTCACCTATAGGTGTGTCTGTTTTTCATGTGAAGACTAGTGGGATTGCAGATGTTGCATTTGTGATTTGCATACTCTGGAAAATATGGCCTGTCATGTTGACTGCTTGGCCTGTGTTTTCCCCTCTCTTTCTCACAGCAGAGGAAGTATAATGTTAAACATAAATTGGTATATGGTCTAGTATGAGTGAAATATTATTTCAAATCCTGTTCTAGAAAACACACTTCCAATCATGCCTTTGTCTGCCATCAGTGTTTCCTTTTTCTTTCTCTTCCTTTCATTATTTATTTCAGTAAGTGAAAAAGCTGAAAGAGTTTGAAGATTGCACAGACTGGAAAACAACTTCCAAGGTAGCTACACACCTGCTCTCTTTCAGACACAGATTGCAGAAACAATAAAATAATAATGCTGCCCCTGGCTTTGAGTTCTGCAAATGTGAATGACACTATAGAACTTGTTACTGCTGTCAGTGCAGTGGTAGAACTTAGAAGCTGCTGATATAATTTGAAGAGGAAACAGCATTGTATCTGGGGAAAAAATGCCTTTGGGGCTACAACAATATGTTGTCTTGTAAATGCTTGAATTGATCAATTGTAGTTTGCCATCCCATTCAAATATTTCACTTTATAAAAGCTTGGAATCAAATAAATCTTTGGTGTAAATTGAAGTCGCATTAGTGGTCTCTTATCAGCCCCTAGACAATATGTATCCTGTAGAATTTAAACTCTGATGTTTTTCATTTTAAGGTGAAATTAAATGACTTGAAAATGGATTCATCTTCTCATGGGTTCCCAGTGACCGTTTTAGAACAAACTGCCTCACAGCTAGGATGCAATCCAGCAGATCAGAAACTTGCTTTGCACTTAGATGAAGAAGATGAGCTGAAACACCTCCGTGAATGTTTCCATATTCCAAAAGTCAAGGATCTACCTCCAAGTGAGAATCATACTTATATTGGGGAGTTATGCATCTTCTGCATATGTTTTTTTCATAAATCTTTAGAAATTATTGTCACCTATAAGATAATGGAGCAATTGCAGACATATCTGAGCACAGTACGTCCTCAGTGTTGCTAAATCAATCCATCAACTTATTCTGGCACAGAATACTTTATGCTCTCATTCCCATCCTGAATTAAATGTGAAAATACAGTACTTACATAATCCTTATGCTGTCAGTCAGCTTCTTTGAACAATATAGTGACTGATTGAAAATTATAGGCAAAAGAATTTTTATCTAATGGATTGAAACTGCAGTGTCTCTAAGAACTTACAGCTCAGAGCGAATTGCTTCTTCAGTACAACATAGTTTAGTGTTATGTATTTTGTTACAATTATTTTGTGGTAATGGAAGAGACAGTATATATGTTATGTTAGAGTATATAATATTTTATTGTTAGGACTCAAGAGGAAATTAATACAGGATCCTAAGGGAAATATACAGGGCTATCTCTTAGGAAAAAAGATTGATGTGGGCAAGTAATTCAGTATAAACCATTTATTTGAACAATTGCTCCTCTTTTTCTGTTCATGAATTGTCTGCAAATAGAGCAAGACTTACCCAAATATAGTAATTTGAAATGAATCACTAAATGTCTATGAATAATTTTTTGGTCTGTAGTTTTCTTGTAAACAACTAGTTGTGAGCACTAGAAATTTAAACTGTTTTGATTGGATAAAGTCACAATGTGTTTCTGTTCCGCTGATTGGATGAACGTAAATGTTAGAATCAGGTTTCTTGTGTGAAAACTCATATACTGAAAAAGTCTCTTTTTATCAATGTTTTTACAATATTCAATTAATATTCCCTGTTTCATCAAACAATCCTGCCAGCATACACATCAATAGATATTCATAGGAAGCAAAGGTGTGATGCTAAAAAAGAAAGGATGCTAATACTTAAATTCAAGTGAATAATTGAAGAATAAAATAACTATTTAATTTTTTGCATTATTTTCTCACTTCTATGAAAGGACTCTGAATTATAAACAGACATGTCTAGCATTTGAATGTCAGGCTTGGGACCAGCAAAGCAGAAATGAGTGACAAACTTAAAGCTAAAGGGCAAACAAAAAAACTGGTAGAATTTTAATAATGTGTGTATCATCTTGACCAATGTATGTAGGGCAATGCTGATACCTTTACTCATGACAGTAACCACAAATAATCCCATGTAAATCATTGAACTGCTGTAATAGTAAATTACTATTCAGGATGAATAATGTTATTGAAATATGGCTCTTATTTTAAAACATGGTTCAGAAAAAAAAATCCCTACATCATCCTAACTTTCCCAAAGTGGTTACAATAGAACCATCGTTACAGAAATGAATACCTCTTACAGGAGACTTCCTATTCAAATTACAGATGTTAGGAATGATAATCTGGACATATCCAATTGCTTCATATTGACAGATGAGTAATTGGAGGCTATTACCTGTTTTTTGTTAAGTGCCAGTAATAGGCTGAGTGGTGCACAAGACAAAACATAGACAGTCCCTGCCTTGAACAGTTTACAATCGAAACAAGAGTGGACAGAATGTACAGGGAAGCTCAGAGAAGGGCATAAGAAGGATATATGAGTTTTGTGATTATTTATTATTATTTACTCTGTTCATATGTGCACCATGGATCTAGCATCTGGATACAGGCACAAGAATAAGTGAATATTATTTGTGGATGCAGTAATAGTAGTTTTGTAACAAAGCCTTTCAAATGAGGAATATTGTAAATGCTGTTATCCATAGGGCACATGTTGGAAGTTTTTGTTTGTTTGTTTTTTTAAATAGTGAATGTTTTAAATGGTGAATGTTTACAATATGGTTTCTAATGAGAGGATTAGTATAAAATATCTTGGCTGGCTTAAACTAGCACATTATATTCAGTTGCAAGGGCTGATGAGCAGGTTTCTTGTTTCACTAAGGACACTTGAAGATACTAGCTTAATTAATAATTCAGTTAATTTACCGCTTTTCCCACCTCCAACCACTGTTGTCCACAAAGGATCCTTCAGTTAGTACTGACTGTCAACACAGACCCTTCACCCCCATGCAGCCGATACCAATGCCATGCTCGGTAGCGGGGTGCTGTCTGAAAGGATATGTCGGTATTGAAATTCTCTAAAGAGAGATCAAAATAATCACCTTTGCAGCACACCTACTATCATCTAAGTTTTGGTTTAGGAAACCAAATCTGTTTCAGATCTCCCATGAGCAAGCCTAAGCACAAAGTACACACCAGTTCAAATCAATATAATTCTAGAAGTGTCAAGGACAGCATGCTGTTTCCTTACATGGTAAATCTATGTAGCAAACTTGTTCCTTCCTGCTGTTACAAGCTACCAGGAGACATTTAATAAATAATTCAAGAAAAATTCAAAGCTGATACCTAGTAGATCTATAACTAGCTTCTTTCTGCAAAATTTGTCCATTATGAAATAAATAAAGAATTCTGTTTACCTTCAGTGTAACAACACATAGAAATATTTGCTCACAAAACTGCTACCAAATAATCCACTGCATGTTCCTCTGCAAGTGCGGGTACAGGTGGCACATCAGAAAACACAGGGGAATATGGGGTAAAGGCCAGTCCCTGAACTGTGTGTGTTAGGTAGAGGTCCATGGTAGAAGACAGAGGGGATTCCATGAATCTCTGGACAAATTTGTGAAAGTATCTCTGCTTTCCTACTCCTTCCTGCTCCTCCTAAATACTGGCAACATGATTTGCTTCTGTTTCCATACTGTCATTAGATTCCCTAGCAAAGCTGCACTCTGTGACCCTTCTGATGAGTCACAGAGCAAGGAGGGATATCCAATCTAGTTCTCTATATGTGCAGGTGGGAAGTGATCCTTCCTGTTATTGAAGTCAATAGGAGCTTTGTCACTGACTTCAATGGAAGTAGGATTGAGCCCACATCATGGATATTTTACTCTAACAGCAGGCTGCATGGTTGTTTGTGGTCCATCTGCTCTGAAATGGAGTTTGCACAGAGGAGTTTCTGGCAGATGCACATTTGGGGGATTCTTCTGAATACCTGCTTTCTTCTCTGCTCCCATTTTGGGCTGATTACCTTACTTTTGTTCTTTATTTCCCCCATGATGCATAGAAGAGAAGCAAATGGGTATGGAACTCTCTCTCTCTCTTTGTCTCTGTCCCAAATATCTCTAGGGCACCTATCAGCTTAGTATTTCAGCAACTTGGAGTCCAAAAAAGTATCTCTTTCTATACACACAACCATAAGGAGATTTCTATATTCTGTTTTCTCTACTTTAGCACACCTGTAATATTATTGTTTCTCCCTCCCCACCCCACCCCACCCCCAACTCCATTCACCATGGTATCTAGGCCCCAAGACTGTTACATATTTCATTGGTAGCATAACAATGTACAAGGCAGTAAAAGTTTTAACAGTGTTCAGAACCCATTGTTCTCACACATCCTGAGTCCTCTATCTTTTTTCAAAAACTGTCATGAAATACAGCTCCTGTCCTGAAGAACAGCAGGGGTAAAAAATATTTACATTATGTAGATATACCATAATGACTGATCTTTCATGACATTTATCTTCACACATGAGCGGATCCTAGATAACTCGCTCCTGAAGATAAATGTCATTACAGATATTAGCCATCAAGTATTCTTTATATATTTACATAAAACATTACAATGAGGTTTTAACATAGTCTTGAAAGAGAGAGATGAGAACATCCATGGGAGACAGGTGTAATATTATGTACTCTAAAAAGTGTCAAATATCATAATGATAGTTTAACTTTATCATAATGTAAATTGTAATAACTGTTTACGCTATATAAATCAAGTAAAAACCTGCCAACAGACTAATTCTATGTCACGTTGTTCTGGGAGTTTGGCAAGCATATGGATGAGGGTTCAGTAGAACAAATGGAGTGAGATGACAGCGGAAAAGTTAGATAAATATTCAGACTTCTAAGCACTTCTTTGCATAGTCTCCATTATACTTGCTTTGTTGGGATGCCCTCAGCTTGAAACTGCTGAACTATAATTTCTTAAAGAAAATGTTGAAAGGTAACGGTAAACCTCCTAATCTCTTCTTTGACCATCTACAACCTTCTACAACAAGGCACATAACTATAGCCTAGCATAGCCAGTAGCTCTTTCTTGTCTAATGAGAAAATTATATATTTCCCCTTCATTTAGACTGAAAGGGAAATTATCAGCATTTTGTAAGAGGAAAAAGGCCCAGACCCAAGCCCTATCTGCAGTTGATAACCAAAAAAAAAAAAGAGAATCCACAGGATAACAGATGTAAAGGTAGAACAATGTGGGAAGGAGGTATGGCCAGCTTTCTGCATCAGTAGCCAATGGGCATTTATGTCTGAAGAGGGGACTGCAGTACAGAGGAGCAGTTTAGCTTTTAATTCATTACCTGTTTTAATGCTTGATTGGAATTTAAGACATACTAGTGAGATTTACAGCTCTAAATTCTGAATAAGATTCTTTTCTCTAGTCTCAGTGAGACTATTATTGTCTTCCTGGATAACAAAGGAACAGTTAATAGAACCAATTTAGAAGTGTGAATAATATTTACACCACTCTATCGTTCATGTTAAAAAGAATGTGCATGAAAAACAGGCACAGAGCATCCGTAAAACAGATTAGATTAAAATTGCTGTCTGATTTATGCTTTTTAAAAGACTTTTAAGGTTTAATTAAGAAGTTACCAAAGCTGTCTTTACTTCTGACAAATGTACTACTGGTTTGGTTCAGTGAAATATTGCAAAACCAAGAAAGAGATATTTTCTAGTCATTTAATCTATTTTTCTATAGTCCTAAAATCAAATCACTGCACAAAGAAATGTAACCTTAATGTTTGTTTCTAGCATGTATTTTATTACATTTATTTGATCTTTCCATTGATCAGGAAATTGGTGCTCTTTGGGGTGGAAGGGGATGATAGAACTGTCTGAATAATGGTACAGTTATAATTGAGCTGTTTTATTTTTTTCCCCTCCCAGCCGACTCAACTTTAGTGAATGAAAATGAAAGCTGCATATACTTTGCTGGGAATTCTCTTGGACTTCAGCCAAAAAAAGTTAAAGCTTACCTGGATGAAGAGTTGGATATGTGGGCTAAAAGGTGTGTAATTAAAGAACATGTAAAACATTAACCATCATTGCTTCAGGGGGCAACCTTTTATCTTATCTGGAGAACTAGCCTGAAAACATTTTATTAGGAGAATATTATGTTCAAACCATTCCCAAGACAAGGGTAAAACATATTCAGTGTCTTCCTAGCAAAACTTAAATCTTCTTTAAAAGGTGTGAGCTGGAAAATAGGCAAAGAGAAACTTCCAGAAGAGATAATTTTAGCCGGGCTTTCATTGGTTAAGACAGAGGGAGGCTCCCAATTGGCTCACCTGGAACGTCTTCAGACTACAGACTTTAACTTGCTCCATTCAAACTTTAGCTGTGCTTACATAGAGAGCACACATGCTCATATAATTACTGCTACTTGCCAATATACATGATACAATGTCAGTTCCCATGATGTTCTTATTAGTATTCCCAATCCCCTAATTCATCCCAACAATCCTTAAAATAGGCAAACTCCCATTTAGATGGCCCTCAGCATAGGTAGTATGGCTGCCACTGTTGGCTGTTCCCCAGCTGTTCCGATACCATGCCTGAACATTTGTTCTGTATGGGAAGAACAAACTTTCTGTCCATAGCCAAGTTTGAGCAAGCAGCTGAACATGGATTAGAACTAGCATCACAGAATGGACCTGGCGTAAGAAAAGATGGAGAAATTACAGCACTGGGGACTTCACAAACATCTCCATGTGCTGCTTAAAAGGGGAATTTATTAGAAACTAATTAAACTTGCAGTTGAATAATAAATAATAGTAAGACAGCAGCTGCTGGGCTCACGATTTGTGCAGCTATACGGAGAACAATGAGGTCCAAAGATAACAGCTATATCAGGTGACTAAAAGGGGACCTCCTTCTGGCACAGCTAGTAGCAGCACTACTATCCGCAGAAAGTACAGGAGTACTTGTGGCACCTTAGAGACTAACAAATTTATTTGAGCATAAACTTTCGTGGGCTACAGCCCACTTCATCAGATGCATAGAATGGAACATATAGTAAGAAGATATATATACATACTGAGAACATGAAAAGGTGGAAGTTGCCATACCAACTCTAAGAGGCTAATTAATTAAGATGAGCTATTATCAGCAGGAGAAAAAAAACTTTTGGAGTGATAATCAAGATGGTCTCTCTGCACATTACAGCTCTGCTAACCACACTGCATGCACTATGGTAAAAGTGCAGAGAGCCGTAGAAAGTAGTGCAAGTGCTGCCAATGTAGATCTGATGTAGGAACACCTGGAAAATTCTCACCATAAACGGCCCCATGAATGGGACCAGGTTCACTTTAAAATTGAAGAGAAGAGACAGAATGGGGAAGAAGTTAGAGGAAGGGAATACGAGAGAGACAAAAGATAGAGGAGAAGAATTCCAAAGACATCTCTGAAGTCTGTCCCTTCCTTTCCATTTTAGCAGCTAAATCCCATCTCCACACCTTTATTATCCGCTGCTTCAACTACTGCAATCTTCTAGTGTTTCTTCATATAAATTTTTCTATTAAGGCTAGTCAAAAAATTTTTATCCTTTTTTTTTCACCAAGGCTTTCAGCTAAATGAATATATTCAAGGAAAGCATATACAGGTGTAGTTTCTGTGAAAAAGTGTTATTTTATTTCCACTGGAAAATTCAAAAATGGAAAATCTTCAGCAATTTTTTTTTCCCTGTGAAAAATCAAAATTTTTCCATGGGGGAGTGGGACCCCTATTTTTCAACCTGCTGTTATTTCTGTATCTTCTTTCATGGCCACCCCAAAATTAGGTGGCACATTTAATCCCACCTGAAAACTTACTTCTGAAACATGTGGCAAGAAAAGATATGAAACTAGAGAGAGAGAAGGAATTGAACTATTGAATTCTCATGTTACCTTATTGTCACTCTTTTCCTCCCTCTCCTCTTCCCTAAGGGATTGTCAAGTTAAATTTAGATAGTATGCTTTATGGACCATGGAATCTTAGCCTGTTTTCTGAGGTGTCCAACATATACCTGGGCAACTGCAACAGGGGAGAGAGGGAAGGGAGAAATAATAATGAGGGAGCAGAGATTAGAAGGAAGAGAATAACCAGATGAGTGAGTTATTTGGGAAAAGAAGAAAAAAGGAGTTTTACTGGGTAGAGTATATTGACCTTAAGAACCCTTCAGTGTCAGCTGCTAAAAGGTTTACTGTTCCATAACAGAAACTCCTAACAGGCGAGCCTGGCAGACTCACTATGCTGAACACATTGCTTTCATGATATTTATCCAAAGAGGGTCAAGGGGGAGGTATCTAATACAAATTTGTCATACTGATTCTCATAATCATTGTGAGATGTATGTACAGATGATATTTAAGGAGTTGTGTATATGTACTGAAAATATGTCTTAAAATCTGCATCCAAGGCAGAGATGATGAACAGGTTTTGGATCAGACAAAGGACTTTGATTCACCTGTCTCTCTGTCAGCCATGTAGATTAAGCATTATAGGCAATGTTCCCTCTAATTTTTTCCATCCCTGTGCAGAATGAATTTTGTTATGTGTAATGCTAATATTGAGGTAACATGCAGATATGCACCACCAGTAGAAACAAAAAAACCTAGATATAATTTTAAAAAGTTTTAACCATGACAAAGCTGAGGCAGCCCAAGAGAGAAAAGGTGTCACACTGAAGACCGCTGTGGTGGAAAAATGACACTAGTGGGAGCTGTGGTCATACAGAGGGATGATTCTGTCACCTACACCGATCTCTACGAGGACCTCACAAACCCTGCAGCAAGGCGATTTGAAGAGGCACTCTCAGCGCTGGGGCTGCTGCAGGGAGAGAGGACTCCCCACAGCAGCCCCGGCTGGCCTAGACAAGCGTCTCTCCCCACAGACACCATGGAGCTGGGAGAGACAGGCTTCTCTCTCCACAGCTGCTCCAGAATGAGGAGGAGTCCTCTCTCCCCACCACAGCACCGGGGCAGGCCCTGGCCACCGCATCCCTGGAGCAGGCGCTAGGGCTGGGGTAGAGGCGTCTCTCACTGGCCACCATAGCCCTACACATCCCAAGCTCCCCACCCCCCACCTCGCCCCACTGCCCCCACCCACCCTGTATTCCCCCACCTCACCTTCTTACACGTTCCCTCCAGGGTCAAGGCACACCTGTGGCTGCACGCCTGCATGGCTCCACTAATTAGGTGCGCGGCCCTTGATGCCCTCTTGAGTGGCCGCGTAAACATGCACCTTAGAGGGAATGCAGATTGTTGGCCAAAACAATGAAAGCCCCATTTACATATGACTCAAGAGGGGTGTGGGAAGTCCAACAGGAGACAAGACACTAGAAAATAAACCCCAGGAGAGAGGGGCGCATACTGACTCTGGGGACAAAATAAAAAACTTTGGGGGTATAAGACAAAGGCAAAAAGACACCATTTTTTCCCCATTCCCTGAGGCATGAATGCTTGGATCCTAGTTTGACTGAAAATCAGCTAGCTCTGCCAAAGACTGAATCCTAGGGGGAAAATCTCCTTTATTAAATAGGAAAGGTAACCATAGAGAAGTGTAGACCCAGGTTTGCTTTTTATGTTTCTTTTTTACATAATAATTTCTGTTTCTATTGTCCTCATTCACTATCTCTTATATCATATATAACAACTTCTGGTTGTTTTCACTATAAATGTATCAGTGCAGTAATGTTATATTGGAGTTGAACTTCTGTTGACTCGTAACAAGCTGGTGTGTGTACTGTTCCTTTGGGGACAGATTATCTGGTAGTTTCTTTGAGTGTCCAGTGCTTAAAGGCTGAACACTGCAACGAGTGCTCCGAGCACTCGGGTTGGTGTGTGCCTATCACTAGCCTGCACAGAAAAAGTGAAGTCTGCAGAGACCTGGATGGCAGCGCTTGTGTGGCCAGAGGCTGTTGATTTCAGGAAGCTGAGCTACTGCAGGCACAGAAAAGAATGCTTCATGCTGAAGGCAGGTAGTGGTAAGGTGCCACGGAACTTTCGGTACCCCTGAGGCACATCACAATGATATGGCTAGAACAGATGTGAGTTCCTGGTGAGTGGTCAGAGGAAAGGTGGGGAGGCTGACTGGGGAAAGTAGGTTCTACTAATTGGATACATTTTCTACAATAGGCAATTGGCTGCTACAGAAGCATAATAATATACATTACACTGTAAATGTGGAAATGTTGCACTTGCTTGTTTTACTCCTTAAAAGGTGAAGGTTGCAGTTAATAAAAATGGCTTACAACTTACAATAGCTAGTTGCATTCTTATAGGGGAGGAGGGAGTTGTTCTGAATGAATTTGAACTTTGTGAAGCACTCTTTCCTCTTGGCTATTAATTCAGCACAGCTCTGCAGTTTCTGTATTCATTTTAAAAAATTGCAACCCTGTCCATTTCTGTATGATTATCATACTTTATCACGGAAATGGCTGGCTTCTTTCAAAAGGTTAAAGTCAGATAGCACTCTTCTCTGTAAAATGATGCAGAGAGAGCATATTTCAGCTCCCTCACTGTCCCTTTTTGTTGGTTTGCTTTCCATTCTTCTGTTTGTCTTTGTGACAATGAAGGATATAAAAAATCCAAAAGGAAAGGTGATGCAGCATGAGGTTCCATAATATCAAAAATGCCTTCAAAACAAAAACTAAATCTTAGAAAAAAATCTGGGTAAACATGATTTCAAACCCTCTGAACAGAGGGAACAAATCTACAAAGGCTTCTTGCGAAAAATACTGTTTGGCCCAAAACACCTTACTCGGTAAATAGCAGAAAGTTAAAAAACTATATCACTGTCTTAGCTATAGAGACACCTAAGGCAACTGAGAAAGTCAAAATAAGGTCAGTACAAAATAGAACAGAGTAGAGAAGCTTACACTTGGAGAAGTCAGCATGCAAAAGAAAAAAAAAGCAATAAAAAGAGAGAGTAGATAGTTGAAGCCATTCAAAATGGTTCATGGTGCCTTTTACCTTTAGGTTACCAAGCACAACTAGGTAAACTCCAGGACATGTAAATAGTGTCTGAGGG